GCTCTGATGATGCAGCGAGGGTTAAATCTGTTGCTGCAGCTGTCACACACACACACACACACAGGCAGCATCATTGACACCTCAGAGCTAAATATACCGCGAGCGACAACGACAGGTGAGCGGCCTTCACTGCTCGGACACAGGAGGTCGTCGGGTATGAGTGTACGATTGTGAGCGGAGATGTGTGTGTGTGTGTGTGTGTGTGTGTGTGTGTGTGTGTGTGTGTGTGTGTGTGTGTGTGTGTGTGTGTGTTTGTGGGAGGGGTGGTGTTCGAGGGTCTGGAGATTGTAAACCTCTTGCTCATTGCTGACTGAGATCAGATCCAAACGCAGCCCAGTTTCTGGGTTCCCCCTCTTCTCTAAGCCAGCTGGTCTGGCTTAATATCACTTCTTTCTTTCTTTCTTCTCTTTTTAACTTTCTTTCGTTTTTTAAATCCTTTTTGTTTGATACAAAGGATTGACTGATCCAAACCCACAGCTGGAGCTGCTGGGGAAAACTTCCAGGTGAAGACAGAACGAAAAGCACGGGTGAGTTTAACGTTAGTTGAATGGACGATGCGTTGGTGTCTTCGGGAAATATGATAAAAATGGCTGAAGGGAAGAAAACATGGTTACCAGACAGAAACAGAATAGAGTTGAAGTTGAGATTTAAGTTTCTGAGGAATTTTATTTTTATTTTTTGACCTCTTGGTGTCAGCGGGGACAAACTGTACGCAGTATTTGGATCCTAACCCATTAGCAACTATTGTTTAGACTCGTTTTGATTGTTTTTTCTGATCGTTTGAATCCAATATTCTGTATTTTTGCTCTGTTTTGGTCTCCACCAACTCCTGCAGGAAATATCCGTCTCTTTAGCTGCTAATGCTATGTTCACCAGCTAGTCTTTGACACATATATTAAAATGAAATATATATCCGTTAAGTGTTTCTTTCCTTTTAGAATACTTTTGGATAAATACCTTAAATATGAACTGAATTTTTTTTATTTGAAGGTACATTTTACTGTTTAAATTGCAAGTCTTCAGCACTCTCTGGTGGACAGACGTTGTACTGTTTGTAATTTGTTTACGATTTATTTGTTACTAATCGGCCGAGATATAAATATATATATATATACATCTGCAGTTTTAGAAAATGTCTTCGACTTTCAGTTTTAAGGTTCAAAATGAAAAGAGTTCATTTTCAAGTTCACCAACATTGCTGTTAAATGCTTTTTACTCTTTAATTGAGCAATAAAGCCCTCATCGTGTGAACAGAGGAGATAAGGGATTGTGGATTTTAATCTAAAGCGAGGGTCTCAGATTGTTTGCTGTCACAGATTATTAATATATTAAACCGTTTGTTATTTGTGATTTTAGGCTGTATTAAAAAAGATGTGATTTCACTTGTACTGCTAGGTTTTAGATGACAGAGAATAATCATTACTGGTTAATTAATCCATTTTTTAAATAGTTTTGGCATTAAGGAGGTCTTGTTATATCAAAGATTATTTAACTATGTGTACAGTAAACTACAAGTGGAACATCCCGTACAATTGTTCTTTCTATTTGAAGTCATTAAAGGAGCATTTAAGATGCAATAATGAATATGTTTGAATGGCTCTACTGACTGTGAGAGGCCTTTAATGCTAAACTCAGAGAGATTTATCACCAATTCTGCTGTTCTCCTTTATCTCCGTTCAGCGTTTCCGTGTCTCTGTCCTTGATGTTTTAGTTTTACGACTCACAACTGTTTTAGTTTGGCGTCAGCAGCGTCCCTTCCAGCAGCTGCTTTCAAAGGAAAGGCTGTAAGTCTCTGACCACAGGAAACAGGCATCGGAGCTGAAATACTTCAACTTTTTCACCTTTTAAATGAATATTATTATAAAGTTAGATTTAAAGCAAAAAATACCCCAAAAAATCTGAGGATTTGTTCATATTTTATGTTTTTTCTTTTTTTTCTACGATAAACCTAATTCATAGTTATTGAATTATTCATAATTTCATAATTTTTAGACAAAATGTCCTAAGGATAAAATGTCTACAGCTTCAACTATTATTAATGTATATATTAAAGTGATTTTTCTAAATATTATACCATTATTGAGTTCATTTATTTGTTGATGGACTGTTGGTCGGGCCAACACAGACTTCTGAAGGCATCGGCTGTAATTGATTGGCACATTTTAGACAAAGTGTTAATTATTAAAGTCACTTTTATATAAAATAAGTACAATTCAGTGTGAATGTGAATATTAACGATTTATTGCTATTTTATGACATATTTAAAACCAAAAAGTTAATCAACATTGTCAAATTAGGGTTCGAAAATAAAAATAAAAATTGTTATGTGCAAAATGATATTGAATAAACAGGGATATGTTGAGTTGAATTAAGGTGCACTTTCAGTATATTCCACTGAGAGGCAGTGCTGAACCTCAATATAAAGCACTTTGGAGACCTAACCATAATAAACTTGGAAAGAAAATGTGTTTCCTATCATTTAAGAGAGACAATTTGACAATTTCTCACTATTCTTATATCCTGTGTGTGTGTGTGTGTGTGTGTGTGTGTGTGTGTGTGTGTGTGTGTGTGTTCAGGTGCTTTCTGACAGTAAACTGAAGCACCGCTGGACGGAGACACGGAGGAAGACATGCGGAGCTGAAGGAGGAGGTAAACCTCAATTTAGTGTGTGTGTGTGTGTGTGTGTGTGTGTGTGTGTGTGTCATAAGTGTGCGCGTGTATGTGTGCGTGTGTGAGTGTGCGCGTGTGTGTCTGGGAGTGTGTGTGAAAAAAATAAAAGCGCGTGCGGGTCTGACACGCCACAAACAACAGGAAACAAACAGAAGGGATAATCCTCCTCTCAAGTGTCTGCGGATCTTTGCTCCTCACAGCAGATTCAGAAGTCTCTCGGCTCTAAGTGTTTAATCAGCGGTGACTCTGTGGTTTCTTATCCGGGGAAGGAACTCCGTTTACGGGCTAAGTGCGGAGCCGCGGACCGGTAGATCTAACCAGGCTGGGGGCTGGTGGAAACACTCGGTAAACTTTTTGTGGGGAATATACTTTTCTACAGCAGCTCTTGGTAAGATACTGAACAAGAGTCTGGTAAAAGTGGTGTTATCGTTTAAGGAAGTTTGAGATGTTTCTTTAAGGCACTTTTTATTTTTCTGTTCAGGGATTATATCTGTTCTCTTTACAACAGTTGTTCCCAGTCGTTTTACCTCAACTTGAAGGAATCATTGGCATTTTTACCATCAGGGCTGGATGTAGCAATGTGGGGCACGTGGAAACTAAGGCATTGCCCCCCTTGTGCGTAAAGATGCTGGTCATAGATTGTATGTCTACTTTTGTGAGGGTATGTTTTTCGGGTTTGCAGCAGGATTATGGTAAAAAAAATGTAGTATATATTTTTTTAAACTTCGTGGAAAGTTGTAGCATTGGTTTATGAATAACCTG